CAGTTGTGTGTATAGTTGGGGGCATAATGTATTAATGAAATCTAAAAATACCACTGACCACCCCCACAAACTAGCTGTACTTATAAGGATTAGCCTTCAAACACTGTACAACAGTTTTATTTAAAATAAAGATTTGTTAGCAAAAATGTACCAGGCACTTCTGCTTGGTCACAAAATAATGTACGTAGTGTCTACTTTCCTCTCTGCTACATAATAAGTCAGCCAATGAATGTCAGTTTCATTCCCTTGTTTACCCATAGATCCCCTAAATGACGCATGCCCCTGGAATGTCAGAGAAGTGTTTTTCAGTGTGCACAAATCCTTTACATGCAGTATTCCACATACTATTCTCTTTCTCAAGAGTTGTCCGGGGTGAGAACAATCATGAAATTCAAACCATTGTCATTCATGAAAAAGAAAACTGAAACATAGCTGAAGCTGGAAAGAGGGAAACAGTCCTTTCAACATGACCTAAAATGAGTATGGGTATATAAACCCCAGCCTGAGATGAGGGCTCCTGATGGGCACTACAATTAATCTCATATTACTCAGAAACACATCACTGCCAACATTTTCTAGCAAAAGGAAATGTAATTCACCTTTAGATGCAAAATAATTTATTTTTCTTCAAAGACCTCATTTTCAAATAATTCCAACTATGTTAAGCTTAAATCTCTTCTGATACAAATAGAAAAAGTTGCTGATATTTCTACTTTGGGAGGGCATGAAAGGACAGCCATCTTTTTTCTGCAGCACAGTAGTAGGTTTCAGATCCACATCAAAGTCACTGTGGTAGGAATGGACCTTTCTGGGTTTGTACATTACTTTTTCTTTGAAATGTCTTAAATGTCTTACTATGTACATGCTGGGACCAAGGCTTAAGTTGAGTGTCTTTGTCCTTTTGAGTTCCATGATTACATTCTGTAGTGATTCAGGTGGAGTTAGTCCTGCATAATTTGTATAGTAATAATGGACTGTGTTGCTCAGGCTTACTTGACTCTTACCAGTATTTCTGTTACTCATTACAGTATGTTTTTATGTGCATCAGGGTTTCTTTATTCAAATGTAATGTTTTTCTTTTTCTTCAGTGTTGGAAATTTTAGCAAAATGAGTTGATCTGATGTAATTCCACTGGTTTTGATGGAATACAGTTATGTGATACGTAGTCTGCATTCCTTTGTGGGTTTGGAGCCTGGAACTATAAAATAAGCCTGCTATAATCATATTAAACTTCACAAAAGGAGACATATCAGTTGAAATGTATTGTTTGAATTATCTTTGAAAAGAGAGGTTTTAAGTAGATGTTTCAAAGCTTTCTACTGACATTCTCATTTTACTGGAAATGCTACCAACATCTAAAACTCACCATAATGAAAAGTCCATCCATAAAACACTCCTTAAATATGTAAAAACACTAATTATGGTTTAACTGAAACACCAACTAAGTGCTTCTTTACATTCTTTATGTAAGAAAAACAAGTCTAGCTTTTTTTCAGAATCGTAAACTAAAATTAAATCCATCTAGAAGGAATAATTTATTAAAATACTGTCAGCCCTAAAATGAATGAATGAATGAATAAATAAATAAATACAGTCAGCCATCCATATCTGCGGGTTCCATGTCTGTGGATTTAACAAACTAGGGATCATAAATATTTGAAAAAGAGGGTCATGTTGTTGCTGATGTGTACTGTGTAGTCAGGCTTATGATGGCACCTGTACTGGACTTGTCATTATTCCCTAAACAACACAGTATGAAAATTACATAGCATTTACATTGTGTTATGCATTATAAGTAATCTGACATGATTTAAAGTAGACAGGAAGACATGTGTAAGTTATAAGTAAATATTGCTCCATTTGACATAAGGAACTTGAGCATCTGTGGGTTTTGGTGTCTGTTGGGGTCCTGGAACTAATCTCCACAGATACTGAGGAATAACTGTAAATCATTTCCATATTCAATCTAATCATTTTCTAATGACTCATTTAAACAAAAAAACTGCCTATGTTTAATTATACAAAGATATTTCTAATGCAACTAGTATGAAAAATCATATTAAAGATATAAAAACTTAAAATAATGTAAATTAAAACATAACAAAAAGTATTCTATTTCAGCTCAAATGTACAGCATTTCAAGAATATCTCTCCCATCATAATTTTCTTTAAAAAGTCACATGAATTTGAAACATTTTGGCATTATAATTAAAGAGTATCAAATTATACAACAAAAAGCCCTAAAACACTATGGTCTGACTATAATTTCAAATGAGTTTTTATGAAATGCATAATGTTACAGAAGCATACTGACTGAAGCATAAAGTCTGAGGTTCACAGAATAACATAAAACTTTAAAAAAATAAAACAATCATTAAAAACATTCAAGTTTTAAATAATTAAAATGCACTCAGTAAAGCTGCAAAGAGACAAATATTCACTTATGACAAAGATCCAAAGCTTACTTCTAAAATGTGATTAAAAACTTTAGGTGAGCCCAAACAAAAATAGAAGAATTACCAAGAATGTGCAAGTGTTCAGTCACATTCTGCTCTGTGAAATCAGCTTTATTAATAATATCTTTAATTGTATAATAATTTAAATTATTTTATAGATTTAAGCAAAAGAATGTGAGCTTAATACCTACACTCTGGTGAGCAAATGAGTTTCTTGTAATGTATAAATTTTAATTAAAGACTGAATGATTAAAAAAATTAAAAATTAAAACAACTTAGTTTTAAGTATACTAATATAATTTTACTTTGCAATACAATATAGTTGTCACATCAAATTTCAATGGGCAAAGAAGGCCAAAGAAGGGTTTATACAATATTCAATAAGAATAATATCTATTCAGTGTACAATAACAAAAAAATACTAACCTAGAAGCACAGTAAAATAATTCATTGTTTTTAAATTCCAGAAATAAAAATAACAGAACAGCATGTAATCCATAACAACTTGGCCCTATAATTTCTAAGCTACAGTCCAATTAAAACATTTAAGAAATAGACATAGTCTATGTGTTCTACCAGGTAAAATACCTGAGAAAGTTAAAGAAATGGGCTTTAAAACTCAACCACAAAGATCCTTCTACTGCGAAATGAAGATGTGTGCAGCTGCACCTCACAGGACACTAAGCTGTTTCCCACAGATTCCATTCACTGCTCAGCCGTAGGTTACGATCCATCAGAGACAGTGTTTCACATCAACACTAAGCTCATTTCACCAAAGAAGCCTGTTTCTATTCATGAGTATGTAAAAGTCACAGTATACAAATTTGGATATGTTTAACTTGTCCTTAAATAATGAATATTATCTCTGTGTAAGCTTTTTTAAAAAGGTCTGAGCAGTCAACCCCAAAACAGGGAAAACAGATAACATTTTAATTAAAGTAAATGTATGTTAAAATACAAATAAAAAATTGAAGTAGCAAAACTGCATCTACCATAATAACATCTCCAAGCAAAAAAACAATCCAGAGCTTGAATGCAATTTGTGCTTTGTTTTTTAAAAAATGCAGTGTTACTTTCAGGCATTTCTAAATGACTAGATTTGTACGTAAGCAGTGGATTTCATTTCATGATCATTTATTTCTAGTTCATCCTATGCAGATAATACACAGAACTAGAAATTACTTAATTTTTCCTAGTACTTTAACTGTATGAATTGAGGTCTTTTTATTTTGAACAGTGATTTATTGCCATTCTTATAGTAAACAATACCAAATTCTAAAATTTTCCAAATTCTAAAATTAAAAACTTTAAGCATTTAAAATTTCAGATAACAGAACCAAGGATTAGTAACAGCTTCTTTCATTTATAAATAGTCTAATTAAAAACACTAATGACTACCTGGCAATAGATCTGAATGAATCCATTTCCTATGAGGGAAAAAAACATGCAAAATCCCCCCAAACACATGATCTTCTTTCTTATTTTGTATCTAAACTTGTAAAATGTGTATAAATACATGATCACTCTACATAATACACATCTTCCAAGGCATTTCTAAAGAAAATTACAGTTTTTGGTCTTAAGGAATAAGACTAAGATGTAGAAGGGGATGAAAACAGTGGAATCTGAGGGAGTGAGACTCGCACACTCAAGTTCGCAACAGCTCGCCAGTCAAGTTAGCGATTACAAGTCAGCATGTGATTTTCAAGGCAATGAAGAAATCAGAACACAGGTGTTTCCTCTTCCTAGAGTTAACAATTATTTCCAAAATTCTATCCATAGAGGACTGTTGGTTTTTTTTCAAAAGGGAACAAAAAATAAATAGGAAGAGTTTCTACCCCCAAATTCATATACACAACCAGTTAAGTAGACTATAGTTAGTGTTAGACTGCTCTCAGTGAAACAGAATTGTTGGTACCATCTGAGGCAGGTGTTATTACCCCAGAAGGTTCAAAACATGATCCAGTAAAACAACTACATGTTGGTATGCCTCAAACAACTAGGAAGCATTGTTCTAATACCATTTTAATCAATCCCTAAGGTAACAGACCTTTAGGATATTATAACTTAATGGTATACCTGAATCATTACTAGCAATAGAAGGTTAAATTCAAAACTGCTATGAAAGTAAAAGCATAGTTAGAAAAACTTAACCTTACTGTAAAAGGAGGAAGAACTTAGAGCTCAAAACTACTGCAAAATGTATAAAGGCAGAATTTTTGTTTGTGGAAGGCAGAGTAAGGAGATAGATGTACAAATCAAGACCAACTGGAATATAAAGAATGAAAAATGTTTTTTAAAAAAAAAGGAGAAAGAAGAAAAATGGAGGACAGCCAGGCAGCAAAAGAATTACTGGGTAGAATGAAAATAAAAATCATGAGGCATGTGCATACAGCTCTCTTTTCTCTCTTGTTTGTGTCCCTAACAATTTACAGCGTGATTGGCATTTGGGTCTTCACACTAGCAGGCAAGGATGAGCTTTCTGATGGATACAGATGAAGGATTTGGAGCTAATAAATTGTTTCATTTGCTTTGAATTCATACCTGGAAGCCTTGAATCCTTGCTAAATATTCCAGCTGTTTTGAAGGTTGTACTGCAGGACAAGGGGGAGTAGGAGAACTTCCTTTTAACCCTATGGCTTCTGCTGTAGGAGATGTTCCATTCATTAGGAGTTCCCTGGCAATTGTGGCTGAGCTATTCGAGGTGGGAGATATACTGAAGAAAGAGCTGGAGGGTTGGTTCATATCTTTGGGTGACAAATAGCCTAGGGTAGTGCCAGAGATTACTTTGTGGCGGCTGGCTTCCATCTCTTGATAAACATCAGGAGACAAATGAAGAATTCCTTTTGGAGCTATAAATAAAATGAATGAACATTGTTATTATATTTAAACATAACTGAAATAGAAACATGTAATAGCATTATCAACTCGGTGATTTCCATTGGTGTAGTAATGAAACAAGAAACACTGTCCATCGAGCATCTTCCTCATATTTGCAGAGGCAACTGCAGTCTCCACTGACAGGTGAATGACGTATGTTTCAATATTCCTAAAACCAGAAGTTTAAAAAGATTCAACAAAGTGATTTCTGTGAAATGTGTATATAGTAGGAAAGCTGTGGCAGGACAAGGTAGATGACATGTGGATATGCAATGGGGGATCAAATTAGGAATAGACAATTTAATATTTTATGAGCTCATAAAAGAGACACAAACCCCTAATATATGGGACACAGCAATTGAGACACAGTAGATAACATGAAGGCTGTGTCTATCTATTCAGATATTGGGTAGCCTATTCATGCTCTACTTTTCATAGATAATGCTAACTCATCAACATGTTAAAAAAAAAGAGATAGCACATCTTCTTTCCCAAATTGTCATTGTCTCCTGTTTTGGTTACCTCATTATGATGCCACCACCTATCTGCTCAGTTGTCCAAACTGAACTCCTGGCAACCATCTTTGATTAACCCACAATCAGTAACCACGTCCAGTCTAGACTTTGTACCTTCATACTCAAGTGTGTCATAGTCAAGGATAGGTTGTGGTATCAAAAGCAGTGAGCTTGGGCTATGCTACCAGTTGGTGGGGTTGTAGATACATAAAAGAAACACTTTCCTTTGCTACCCTTTGTCTCAGAGATGTTTCAAAGCACATTTCACACTGCTTGTTCTAATGAATTTGGATCATACAGTAACAATTCACAAATCATATTATCTTTCAAAACTATTGATAAATCACCACTTCCAGAGAATGAGATATACAATTCCCTTGTGTTCCTGACATTAACCTTCTTTTTATTTTTTTGTTTGTTTATTTACTTATAGAGAGAGGGGAAGGGAGTGAGAAAGAGGAGAGAAACATCAATGTGCAGTTGCCTCTCATGTGCCTCTAACTGGGGATCTGGCCTGCAACCGAGGCATGTGCCCTGACTGGGAATTGAACCTGTGACCCTTTGGTTTGCAGGCTGGTGCTCAATCCACTGAGCCACACTAGCCAGGGCCTGATATTAACCTTCTAATTCAAGACTATATGTTGCTTTTTAAAAGTAATTTTTGTATGTATAGTTGACATACAATATTATATTACTTTTAGGTGTACAACATAATATTTACACATTTATATAATTTACAAAGTGATCACCCTAATAAATATAGCACCCATCTGACACAATACATAGTTATTACAATATTACTGACTATATTCCCTGTGCTGTAATTTACATCCTATGACTATTTTTGTAAGTGGCAATTTGTACCTCTTAATTCTTTCCCCTTTTTCACCCATCCCAAAATCTGCCTCCCCTCTGGCAACCATCAAAATGTTCTCTGAATCTATGAGTTTGTTTCTGTTTTGTTTGTTATTTAGATTCCACATAAAGTGAAATCATATGGTATTTGTCTTTTCCTGTCTGACTTATTTCACTGAGCATAACACCCTCTGGGTCCATACATGCTGTGATAAAACACAGTATTTCATTGTTGTTTTTTTTTAAGATTGTATTTATTTATCTTTAGAGAGAGGGGAAAGGAGGGAGAAAAAAAGTTAGAGAAACATCAGCGTGTGGCTGCCTCTCACATGGCCCCCACTGGGGATCTGGCCTGCAACCAAGGTATGTGCCCTGACTGGAAATCGAACTGGTGACCCTTTGTTTTGCAGCCCACGCTGAATCCACTGAGCTACACCAGCCAGGGCTATTTCATTGTTTTTATATGGCCAAGTAATATTCTATTCTAGCAACAGAAGTATATATATGTATCAGTGCTTTTTTAAATGTGGGGGATTAAAGGAGCAAAAACTAAGAAAGTGCTCAGTGTGGCATAGGTAAATGTAACTTTCCTTCTTTCTTATCAGCTAAAGCACAGAAGAGATAATTATTGGAATGGGAATGAGGCAAGAGAAAAGGAGATTATACAGACTCTGGCACCATGGTCTAAATCTCAGCTCTGCACTTATTAGTGGTATAACTTTGGAAAAGTTGTCTAACTGCTCAAAAACCCAGTTTCCTCTAAAACAAGAATAGTCCTGCTGGTTATTATAAATATAAAATGAAAAATATGTGATGTTCCCGGCACAGTAGCTGATATATACTAAGTATGCCTGCAGTGATTTTAGTTCTTATCACCATCATGTTTCCCAATGTATTTTTTAATTATATTTCATTGTTTATGCTATTACAGTTGTCCCAGGTTTTCCCCTTTGCCCTCCTCCACCCAGCCATGCCCCCAACTCCCTCAGTCAATCACCACACTATTGTGTATGACCATGGGTCATACATGTGTGTTCTTTTGGTACTCTATTCCCTATGCTCTATTTACATCCCCATAACTATTCTGTAACTACCAATTTGTACTTTTAAAAAGAAATTGATCTTTATTGTATTTTTCCCATTACCCTTCAGTCCTCTTATACCTCCATTCCCCCAGCAATCACCAAAATGTTGTCCATGTTGTCCATGAGTCCTTTTTGCTCCTTGCTCCATCCCTCTGCCACCACCCCCCAACTAGCTGTCATCCTGTTCTCCATCTATGAGTCTGTCCCATTTTCCTTGTTAGTTCAGTTTGTTCATTAGATTCCACATATGAGTGAAATTATATGGCATTTGTCTTTCTCTAACTGGCTTATTTCACTTAAGAGTAATTTTCTCCAGGTCCATCCATACTGTTACAAACAGTATTTTTCTTCTTTTTTAAAACTGAGTAACCATTCCATTCTGTAAATGTCCCACAGCTGTGTTGTTTTGCTTTTTTAATACAGAGGGGAAGGGAAGGACAAAAAGAGGGAGAGTAACATCAGTGAGTGGTTGCCTCTTGTGCAACACCCACTGGTGACCTGGCCCTCAACCCAGGCATGTGCCCTGACTGGGAATCAAACCAGCGACCCTCTGGTTTGCAGGCTGGCACTCAGTCCACTGAGCCACACCAGCCAGGGATCCCATAGTTGTTTTACCCACTCATGTACTGATGGACACATGGGCTGTTTCCATATCTTGACAATTAGAAATAATGCTGCAATGAATATAGGGGTGCTTATGTTATCTTGAATTAGTGTTTTGGGTTCCTTCAGATACATTCCCAGAAGTGGGGTCGCTGGGTCAAAAGGCAGATCCATTTTTAGTTTTTTGAGATAACTCCATCTGCTATCTACAGTGGTTGTGTCAATCTGCATCCAACCAATAATGCAAAAGGGTTACCCTTTCTCCACATCTTCACCAGCACTTGCTTGTTGATTTATTGATGATAGCCATTCTGGCAGGTGTGAGATGATATCTCATGTTTTAATTTACATTTCTCTGATGGTTAGTGACATTGAGCATCTTTCATATGTCTATTGGCCATCTATCTATATGTCCTCTTCGGAGAAGTGTCTGTTCAGGTTCCTTGCCCATTTTTTAATTGGCTTGTTTGTTTTTTTGGTGTTGAGTTTTGAAAGTATTTTATAAATTTTGGATATTAACACCTTGTCAGATGTATTGGTGAATAAGTTCTCCCATTCTATAGGTTGTCATTTATTTACTTGATGATTTCCTTGGTTGTGCAAATACTTTTGTTTGGTCCTGGTTGGTGTGGCTCAGTGGACTGAGTGCCAGCCTGAGAACCAAAGCGTTCCTAGTTCGATTCCCAGTCAGATCTCATAGCTGCGGTGTGGGCCAGGTCCCTGGTTGGGGGCATGTGAGAGGCAGCCAATTGATGTATCACTGACACATCTATGTTTCTCTCTTCTTTCTCTCTCCTTTATCCTCTAAAATTAATGAAATCTTAAAAAAAACTTTTTAGTTTGATATAGTCCCATTTGTTCATTTAATCTTTTGTTTCCCTTGCCTGAGGAGATATATCCGATAAAAAACTGGCTCTGACTGGCAAGGCTCAGTGGATCGAATACCATCCTGTGAACCAAATGTTTGCTGGTTTGATTCCCAGTCTAGGGCACATGCCTGGGTTGAGGGCCAGGTCCCCAGTGGGGTTGAGCAAGGGACAACCATGCATTGATGTTTCTCTCCCTCTCTTCCTCCCATACCTTCTCTAAAAATAAATAAAATATTTTAAAAACTTATTTAAAAATGCTATGAGCAATGTCTGAGACTTTGGTGACTGTTTTCTTCAAAGATTTTTATGGTTTCAGTTCTAACATTTAAGTCTTTCATCCATTTTCAATTTATTCTTGTGTGTGGTATAAGAAGATGATCTAGTTTCATTTTCCTGCATGTATCTCTCCAATTTTCAAAAACCCAATTATTGAATAAACTATCTTTAGCCCATTGTATGTACTTGCTTCCTGTGTCAAATATTAATTGACTATAAAGTTTTAAATTTATTTCTGGGCTCTGTATTACATTCCATTCATTTATGAGTCTGTTTTTATGCCAGAATAAGGCTGTTTAGATTGCTATGGTCTTGTAATATAGTTTGATATTAGGTAGAGTAACTCCTCCAACTTTGTTCTTCTTTCTCAGGATCACTGTTGCTATGCAGTGGGACTTTTGTAGTTCTATATACATTTTGGAAATATTTGTTCTAAATCTGTGAAAAAAAATCATTGGGATCTTGATAGGAATTGTGTTGAATCTACAGATTGCTTAGGGTAGTATGCATATTTTAATGATGTTAATTTTCCCAATCCAGGAACATGGTATGGGCTTCCACTTATTTGTATCTTCCTCAATTTCTTTCTTCAGTGTCTTATTATTTCCTGAGTACAGGTCTTTTATGTTGCTGGTTAGGTTTATTCCTAGGTATTTTATTCTTTTTGAAGCAATTGTGAATGGGATTGTTTTCTTCAGTTTCATTTCTGTTAGCTTGTTTTGGGCTTATAAAAATGTAACTGATTTCAGGATATTAATTTTGTACCTTG